GGGCGGGTCAGGAGAGGTCTGCCTCGCCATGTGGTCACCTCCGGGGTGGGCGGGGATCGAACTCATGCGGAATTGGCTTTAGTTTCTCAGTGCAGTGCTTTAACCCACTGCGCCACCAGGGAGGGCCCTGAAGCTAGGTTTTTGATGCACATTTTTAATCCAGGTAAGCATGAAGGAAAAAAAGCTATTTTGTAGCTTCTAACCAAACATCCGCACTCTACTTATAAGCAGACTTATATATGGTAATCCCAACAGCACCTTGACTTTGGGACTTAACCACACTTCAGAGTTTATGTCTAATACACAAGCACTAGCCCAACATAAAGTGGTTAACTTGAAAAATATATCAATAGTTAACATTCTGGAAAATAAGTCATGAATTAGACTGAGGACTAATATTTGTAAAGAATAAAAAATAATATGGGAAATATTTTCAATGTAGTATGCTGAAATATATACATGTATGTACATATACACATATATCTAAAAACCAACCTTTATATACTGTATAATTACATTTTTGGTGGGGGAAAAAAGTTCTTGTGGATATAAAAAGATATTTAAATGCAAAAAAATTAATAAAATTTTAAATATACTTTAGTTATGCCAGCAAGCCTGCAGTTAATTACTTTTTAGAAGTCAAAATAAAAATAAATTAAAGAAACTGGGCCCTCCCTGGTGATGCAGCGGTTTAAAGCACAGCACAAAGAAGCTTAAGCCACTTCCGCATGAGTTCGATTCCCGCCTGCCCCGGAGGTGACCACATGGCGTGGCAGACCTCTTCTGCCCGCCTGCTGCTCCCCTCAGCAGTGTACTTTGTCGATCTGCCTGTTCTGCTCTCCACTCTTTTCCTGGTGAATCCTCTCACCCTCCGCATCTCTGGCCTGTACCCCAGTTCTGTATAAATAAATAAATAAATCTTTAAGGAAAAAAAATTAAACTAAGAGAACTGGTATGATTAATTTGGCCACTATTTCCTAAGTACTAAATGTAAGATAATGTTAAGGATTCTGAGTAACAAATATCACTGCATCTTCCTGCCGATAGTATTGTTTCATATCTGCTTTAAAGTATGGTTGCTGAGAAGCAACCTCAGTAAGAGAGGTTGCATACGCAAGCAGTATTCTTTAAAATTGATGAAGCTTTAGTTTGTATTGATATAGAGTATATGCCAGCCTTTGTCACGCATCTTCTACACCTGTCAGTTCACTGAATCGTCAGGATAATGACAGGTTAACATGTGCAGACATCACCCTCTACTAATCACTTTCAAAAATTAAAAATAGCAATGGCTACTAGTTACTGACCCAGTTTCTATAGGAGACATCATTATAGGGTTTCCTGACAATGACGCTAGGAAATGAACCTAATATAATTATTGTTATTATTCAGTTTTAATTCCTTCTTTATTTAGTGTTACCCATTTGTGTTTATGGTCTGACCTCCCTTTATGTCACCCTCATTCATACCCTCACCATTCCAAAGGACTCTGAAAGATAATTTGAGGCTCACATGTCTAACTACAAATGGAGGTTTGCTTTTGAAATTATTTCTAAGGTTCAACTGAGCTGGCTGGTCCTGCAGAAAACGACTGGTGGAATGAAGGGAGGGTGCCCCAGACTGCATGCCTTGGGGCAGTCTGTCCAGATAACTCTCCTTTGGCTTCATCTTTAAATTTTTTATGTGGAACTTTGATCCATAGGACATATAAACAGGTTTTTGTGACTTATATCTTTCTTCCTGAAAACAAAACCAAAAAAAAGTCAATATTTTTTAAATTAAATTTTTGCCAGAGGAGAAAATTAAATCAGAATATAACTATTTAACTGGCCTTATTTTTAATCAAAAAGACTGAACATACAGGTTTACAAATTAATAACTTAAGACAGGTCATTTAAGTTTTTCTTCAGTTCAGCTTAACATCACATTAAAATTATAACTTGCTAATACACTTCAGTTCTTAACAGTTAGATCTATTCATATTAGGAGAAATGTGTGAAGTGTCAGATACTAACTCTGCAGTCATAAAAAGGGGAAAAAGGAAAAGAAGAGGGGGAGGGTAAAGGGAGAGAAAAGGTAAGACTTCATCATATACTCAGTTCCAGCAATTCGCTCCAAACCATTTATTAAAAGAAAATAATTATGGCTAAATATGGCTACAAAAATTCTTATAACAGTCAAAAATTAGAAACCAAGTACACTGGTGGTAAACCATTTCCTCTCAGCTCAACTTCATGATCGTTAGCAGAATATAGGACCCTAGTTTCTGTTCTCCCAGCTGTTCCATTAGACTCCAGCACCAAAAAGCATTACAGGGAGACTACAAGATGAGGAGGAAGAAACTCTGGCTTCCAGTTTTTTATTCTATTCTTGTCAGTACCACCCCAGAAACTACTCTGCCTGCACTAGTAACAAATGTTTCTGGTATCTAGCCTCCCCATAATGCCAGAACTAGCCTCACTGTGCTTCTCTCAAATAGTCTAGCACTCAGAAATTTGACTCTAGTCCCATAGGATCCTTCCTCCAAGCTCTTGAGGTACCTAATGAATGTGTCCTTCTTTAGAACTCTGAGTTCCAACTTATCAGAAACCTACCTCTGAACTTCTAAGGAAGCACCAGGAAAGCAGGCCTTCACACACAAAGGTCTGGGTCCCATTTCTCTGAAGTGTTTTTCTCAAGCATCTGTGTTCCTGATAGCAGAGTCTGTTCTCTTTGCTCCCACAGCCCTAGAAAGTAAAAGCTATTTCCTACAGTTTCTATCTCTGTCACTTCAGTATTCTCCTCCTCCCTCTTACCTGTCAGGCTCCTAACCTTTGTATATCCTTTTTTCTTTTTTTTTAACATTAAGTCTTCCTTTTAAAATAAAGTGTGGGTTTTCCTTACTGGATCATGACTGACATTTCTGTTAAGTAGCAAACACCAAAAATGATTGACCAAACAAACTATGGTACATCCATACAATGGAATACTATGAAGCAATGAAAACTGCCAGGCATAAGAATACATAAGGACATAAGGACATGAGCACATGTTCATGTTATACCAACTGAAAAAATAAGTCACCAAATAATATGCAGTGTAGTTGATCCCAACATTTTAAAATTAAAAGTGAATTTGTATTTGTATATAGAATACATTCAAAAAATTAATCATATTCACCTCTGGATGTAAGACTTGATGGGTAATTTGTATTTTGTCCATTTTGCTTATCTGTATTTTATAGTTTTCTAAAGTAAATGGGATGCTTTTGTTGTAAAAAAAAATTTCATTTTTTAAGTTTATACTTAAAAAAGGATCTACATTAAGATGTTAAGAAAAAATTAGAATAGCAGAATAAAAAAGAAAGACTGAAAAATCATCATACAAATAAATTAGATTGCAGGAAACAGTGGGTAAGAAAAATTAAAAAGTAGCTAATGCTTTCCTCAAAAGTACCTGTTGCTCTCCTATTTTATTAGTGACTATGTCCTGGAGATTGATGGATTTGCAGATTGGTGACCCTTCTCATTCAGTACCATTTACCCACAGCCCAATTTTCACAGTATTTTCCCAAAACCCCAAATTAGATTTGGGATGACAAGTAAATAAGCTTTACAAATTATATTCACTCATTTGTCATTTTGTTGTAGAAAAGATTTTACATGGTTACAAACTTATGGACAATAAGGAGAAATCAGGGCTGATGAGAGTAAAATGGAGGCAGTGCTAATGGATGTCTCAAGCCTCTAAAGATGCTCCACAAATACAACTCTGAGCTTTGGCTTCAGCAAAGGAAAGAAGGAAATAGTGCTCATAAAATCAAGAGCAAATGTCATAAAACAGTGGCAACAACAAAGAACTGACTTACCTATGTGTCAAACTCAGGATCTTAGCTCTGAAACACTATGCTCCAACAACTACAATATGGTGCATACATTGCAAACACACATTCTAATGTAATAGCTTGAGCAAACGTATATGAATAAAAAAATTCAAGGAGTAGGTACCCAGATTTCCACTCATCCAGTTGCATCTAAATTAATTTTGGGCTAAAATTCCTGACATTTCTATCACTAGCTTCATGATTATACTTACAATAAATCTGTCTTCATGCAAAAATGCACATTCTCTAATGGCTGTCCTTGTATAAAACTCTAATTTGGGAGCAATACCCTAAAATACACAACATAAAGGAAGCAAGTAAAGTTACTGGAAACAGATTCTTTACCCACCCCATCCTAACTTGAAATATATAAAAACTTAATTGTTCTTTTTTTTTTGATTGGCATAATCCACACACATTATCTAAAATATACAGGATAGAGAATGAAATGTTATTCAGCCTTTAAAAAAGAAATAAAATATGCCCTTTGCAACAAGGAAGAAACTAGAAGACATTATGTTAAGTGAAACAAGTCACTTATCTGTGGAATCTACCAACAAACTCATTGACACATAAAGTAGAGTGATGGTTACCAGGAGCTGTAGGGTACAGGAAATAGGTTGATATTGGTCAAAGGATAAGGTTTGAGTTAAGTAAAATGAGAAGTTCTAAAGAGCCAATATAAGCAATATGACTATAATTTATAATACTATATATAATATATAGTTTATGCAGTATTAAATACATAATGTATATTAAATATATATAATTTACAATACTACATATGTAATAAGTTACAAAACTTGTTAAGAGGGTATTTTTTTAAGATTTTATTTTTTATTGATGCATACAAGAACTGGGGTGTAGGTCAGAGGTGTGGGAGGTAAGAGGATTCACCAGAGACAGAGTAGGGAGCAGAACAGGCAGATCTGTTGAAATACAATGCTGAGGAAGCGGCAGGCAAGACAGGAGAGGTCTGCTGCACCATGTGGGTCAGCTCCCTGGCAGGGGATTGAACTCATGCTTGGTGGCTGGTGATGGCTTGATAGTGCTAAGACTTTAACCCCTGCACCACCAGGGCTTCTTACTCCTGCCCCACCAGGGAGGCCCCAAAAGGTAGATTTTTAAGGTTTTTTAACCGTCCCTCCAACTGACCTATGTATTTTGAATATGTTAATTCATCTAATCCTCACAAAAAGCCCATGAGGTACGTCTTCAAAATATCTCTGCTTTGTAGATGAGTAAACTAGGGTACTAAAAGGTTTTAACTAACCTCTCCAGTTAGTAATGACAGAGTTGGGAATTGAACTCAGGCATTCTAGCACTACTGTTAATGCAGTTAACTACTCCATATTGAATCACAGAATTGCATGAGATCACATAAGGAGAAGAGGTTCTCTTTCCCTACCTACTTGCTTTGAAAAACTTGCTTAATATTTCATACCAAATATTTTGTTCATTAGATCAATTTCCAAACCTCATTATTTTTTGGACTTCTATTTCTAAGAAAATACCTGGGAAAACCATGAATACAATTATCCACTAACACAAATTATGCAGTTCAGTTTACCACACTTAGGGAGATCTCAATGGTCAGCACATCTGGTGTGCAAAGGGTAAGCCTTGCTGAGGAAAAGCACCTCTATGATCATAGTGTCTTCCTTGCCAGCTGGGTTTAAGTATAAAACTCTTTGTTTCACTGATGACACATCTAATTCTATAGACTAAAATATTGTGCAACAAAAAACCTTATCCTACTTAATTCTGAAAATCTTATAAGGCATTTACAATTATTGTCATCATAACTATTCTTCCTGGGTAAATAGACCACAGTGTATCTATATAATGGAATCTACTAAGTAACAGCAAGGAAATAACTACTGAACCTCACAACTTCACTGTTCCACACAAAAGATGGGAGTCTCAAAAGATTAAAGCTTGTATGATTCTGTAACAGGGTGGTCCCTATGAAAAGAGAAGTTCCAGGTTCCCTGCCCCACCCAGAAGGAGGGTGGAGCTAAGCAGAGAAAGAGAAGAAAAGAAGGAAGCTGGGTGGAGAACAAGAAAGAGACCTGAGGAAGCCACATGGAGCAGCAAGCATGTGATGAAGAAACTGTGCTTGTTTCCTGACCCTGAACTGGTTAAGGCAGATGTGGGTGAGATACCGATAGGGAGGAGACTATGGCAGTGTATATATTGATTTTGATTTTGCTCTTTTCCTCCCAGATTTGTCTGACCATTTCTGACCATTTTCCACCTGTCCCGGCCAGAAGGTGCTTTAGTCTAGTGGTGGGCTTTCTGGCCTTGCTTTGGACCAACCCCTTTGGGTTGACTTTTGCCCACGAGGGGATGGGCAACTTCAGATGTTTGATTTAGAAGCTATATTCCTTGTGTTCCATATTGTATATTCACTGCATTAAAGTCCCCTTTCATTAAAGTTTTATATGTTTTGTCTTGTTGCGGCGGATGGCAGAACCCACTTAAAGCAAGCAGGTTTGGGGCTTCAGTGGTGCCCCTCTCCCTGTAACAGATTTGGTGTCCTGTAACAATTCCATTTATATGACAACCTCAAAAAGACAAAACAATAGTGATGAAGAATAGATTGGTAGTTGGAATAAGGGGGTTGATGTGCCTATAAAGGAATTACATGAAGAAGACTTAGAGGATGATGAAATTGATTGTGGTGGTAGTGTCACAAATATACATGTGCTAAAATTCATAGAACAGTGCATCAGAAAAAGTTAAATCTACTGTGAACGGCCGCAAGAAAGGAAGACAGGAGGCAGAAAGGCCGAGCAAGCAGAGTTTATTGCTCCCAGACAGCAGCTGAGATGGAGCCCCTAGGGTTGGGTCCGCAGCTACTGCCAACCCAATAAGGGGGAAGGGTCTCATATAGATTCTAAACTCAGATTCCAAAGGGGTGACTCGTCGCTGTGTCTTTGATGTGAGGCCCAGTTGGCTGTCACCTTCAGCTAGTCCCATCCAGGATCTCAAGGTCAGTTTACTACCACTTTGTCAAGTTGGATGCAAGGCTCAATTCTTTACCGCCCTAATTCAGTCATTGTCAGTAAATCTTTGGTCACTCCCAACAACTATGAAGTCTTTTTTTTTTCATATTTTGTGCCTAATTTATTTTTTTTATTTTATAATAATTTCTTTTTACATATTTTTGTGCATTTTTCCATCTCAGTTGCAATCCCCTTGGGTTTCCCATCACCAAGTCACCCATGTGCCATCACCATAGTCCAGTGCACTTCCCTCCCCCTGCTGTTCCATTTTTTAAAATATAAGTATTTTTCTTTTAAAAACCTTGAGGTTTCAAAAGACATAAAGCAGCTTTGCCAAGGTCACATGGCTTGTAAAGGTCTAAACAGATACAGGAACTGGATTGATTAAGTTATACTGTCTCCAACTGACCCCATCAACTCTGATGCAAGACCCTCTGCTCTCTTCTCCCCAGGAAAACTCTACCTAGTCAAGTATTCCTTGTCCTGGAGGGATGTACGTGAGGGTTGGATAGAGGTGACTTCCCTTTCTTCTTTTCCTATTCAAATCTTGTCTCTGAAAACCTGGCCTCACCCTACCTCCTCCAGGCATATTCACAGTGATTTCTCCCTCCATTCTCTCATATTTCATAGTGATCTATTTAACATACTCCAAAAGTGTTTCCAAGAAGGATTTGCTGAAGCCCTAGTGAGAAAGGAGACTGACATGCACTGCATGTGTTATCTTGTTTATTCTCACACAATTTACATAATAAAAAATTCCATCCCCATTTCATGTGTGAAGGAAAAGACTAAAGGAAGTTAATCTATTCAATGTCACACAGCTGGGGATCAGTAGAGCCAGGATTTGAAATTCTATTGGGCAGAAAAGCCCATCTTTCTATTACCTCATGCTACCTTTGGGGGAGGTAGGAGGGCATTCATCAGCTTATTTCCTTTGTATGTTCACTCCTGTGCATTCATCTTGTCTACAGAACAAGTTCTTACAGGTACAACCTACATCATCAGCTCCTTTTATTTTTTTATTTTCTATTAAATGTACAGTATGACCATAAGAGTGTTAGAGCTGAACTTGTGACTCAAGAAACATTTTGGGATTTATAAACACATAGCCCAGTTGATTGACAGAGTAAATTAATCCAAGCAGCATTTCATAAAGAATGTACTTTGACATAAGAAGCTCAGACTCATTTCCTGTTATCTAGACTGCCCACCAGAAGAAAGAGTAGGGGGAGATTCAGGGTTCACAGTACTGCTGGTGGGATCTCAAATCCTCAAGACCAAGTTTCTGATCCCCTGCAGCCTTGAATCACAAACTTGTGCTGTCCTCTCATTGTTTATAGGGGAGCGGCATTAAGCCCTAAAGAGCTGCATAATAATATACAAAAGCTCACATTTACTATATAGAACTGTATGCCAGATACATGCAAAGTATTAACACTAAATTACTTCACCTAACCCTCACATACCCTATAGGTAAAGTGCTATTATCAGCCCCAGTTCATGAGGAAATGAAGGCACATGGAGATTAAGTAACTGACCCAAAACCACACAGTCAGTGATTTACAAAACTGGGATTAAACCCAGACAATCTGAGTCCATACTTAGCCACTATACAACTGCCTAGTTGGACTTCAAATTCTGATCCACTTTGCCTAGATAGAGGGTGGGGTAGCTTATCAGTTAGAATCCACACCCTGTAACACATACTTGTCAAGCTTTTTATATAACCTTCACTCCTGCCAATGACTGACAGACAATAAAGAGGATGTTTTTGCTTTTTCATGACAGTGCTGATCTAGCAATAGTTTAGAGTTGAAATTTACAGGTTCTATCTTGCCCGCTCTCCTTAGCAATGAGATGATGGTGACAGTGTTTACATCAATAAATAAATTTAATAGTAAGATTTTTCTGCAATCATTGCAAGAAAAAATGAAATTAAGAAGTTAATTTTAAAAGATAATATTCTTTCTGCTTCCCTTATAAATTTAGTCTCTACCTAACAAGAAAACAAATTACATTCCCCAAAAAGAAAGGTCTTGACCTCAGCATGAAAAAGGGGGCCAGGGGAAGTGGGGAGAGAGTGGGGATGTTTACTGTATCCAGCAAAATAAAACAAAATATGGAAATATAAAGAAAAAGTCATATTTTAGTGAAGGAAATATATCCATTCTTATGAATTAATCAAGAAAAATAAATAAAACAAATAGTTTGCCTGACTTGTACATGTAATTCACTCCCAGTTCCTATAATATTAATGAAGAGAAACTGGACAAAGGGCCTCC